CCCCCCACTCGACCCCGAGTCTGCCAACTCGAACATTACTATACGCCCTCCACGATCCAAGAGGAGGAGAACATCGAGACTACCGCCTTCCTCCTACGTTTTCTCGTCTCTCGCTCTATCTCTCTCGTCGCCTTTTTACTCCACCTACCTCTTTCTCGCGCGCTTCTATCTACCTCGTAGCTCGTACGCCCGCTCCTAATCTCTCCCTCCTCTCCCTCCGCCGCCCAGCTTTCTCTGTGCTTCCCTTCTTCCCCTATCACCCACGACCCCCCTCCCATTCGACGGCGGTGCCGTCGTTGCATTTCCGCTTTAACGTCGGCTAAACTCGAGGTGCGCCCGGTGCGCGCAAACGCCACCGACAAACGCGTTTTCTCTCCGCGCCGATGAAATGGCGGACGACAGAGCATTCTCCACCCTGGAGGATCTCATCCGAACAAGTTCCACGCGAAGTCACGTCGATCTCTCGCCCGTTGGACATTTTCCAGCGAATCAGATAGCTTTTACTCAGCGTAACTGACATTTCAGTTACTGTACGACCGGTTTGTCGGACACGTCAATTAATCATTGAATAGGAAAACTTGTAGGTCGACTCGAACAATTTTTCTGGAGTTTCGATGTTCTTAAGTCGCACCTATCCAGGCTGGAACAACTCGTCACGCGATTATTAAAATACGACTCTGACAGGAAAAGCCGAGTGATGACTCTGACATGGAAAACTCATTTTTGTCGCACAGATTGGCACTTTCCTTATCTCTGCTCTCTCGAATCGTTAAAACGTTATGGCCGGCAGTTATGCGTTTCTCCGACTGCGGATTTCAATTATTAGTGCAATTGCAGACGATCGTAACAACTCCCGATTCCTGCCTCTCTCTCTCTCTCTCCCTTTCTCCCGGGTTTAATTATCTAATGACATTAGCCGGCGTTCTTGCACGTGAGCCGTTCGCAAATGTTATGGAAATAATCTCGCGTTATTGGTTGCAGATTTCGCAAATGCAAATACGGGATATATATCGACAGATTCTCCAGGCTTTCGTAAAAAATAATTTCTCCTTTAAATAAATCAAGCATATTAATGAACGTATACCACTTGACTATTTTTTTGTAAATACGGAAAGCTAAATTATAATTAAAAATTTACTTGTTACTTCAAGCTTCATTTACAGAGCAATTTATTAACATAAAAAGTACAATTTTCGCTTATATACATTATTAATTTTGGAATTTTGGATAAACTAAATTTCGTTAAAGGAATTGTTGATACTCGTATATGCGCGATTGCAAATCTGAAAACACATGCGCTTTAAACAAAAATCAAACATCCCTGTGAGACATTATTTTTCCGTGCGTTTCTCTCTCTTCTTACAGGCATATATATTTAAATACAAATCGATATAATTGAAAATATGTCAGCGACTTGTCCGTCACGTTCCACGGATCTTACGGATCGTATAATCGGCCGTTCGCGGGATCTCTGGGATATCTCAAGATGTTGTTTACGGCACACAACGGACATTGTTACCGCTCTCCCGAATTCAGAATATTAACATTCACAGGCACATCGGCCTCTACCTGCCGCGCGCACATGACGGACATTTACGCGAATGCATTCGTATAGAATTTCGCCGGCGGGCGAATTTAGCGGGACATCGGGGGAAGAAACATCGTTTCCACAGCACGTAAATGACTGGTATAATAACGGTAATACACGTCGGGCATTATCTGCACGCGCTCGCATTTTTGCGGGCAGACAGGTTCCCCCGGTCTCCCGCGAGATTCCTTCGAGCGCGAGCGGTGGCGGCGGCGGCGGCGGCGTGGTTGCGTTTCGCCGCAGCCACGCGATGACCCGCGCTTTTTGAGGCCGCGCGAAGCATCGAGTCATCGCCGTGAGACGGGAGGTGATACTAATCTCGATGCGGTTATCGAATCCGATACGCAGGCCAGAGCGATTTCAATGAGATCTCATTGTGCTCCGAACGTTCGCGCCCGATGCGCCGCGCTCGCGGATTGCAGTCTGGCGTGATGCAGGCGCATCAAAGGTGTACTGTTACTCCGCGGAGGTGCAACGGACTCGCCGCTATTAGTACGGTAATATCACAGAGAGAGGTCTTGACGTTATTGTCAGAAACATCGCGGAGATGCTTTCGAGCAGAAGAATACGGCTTAACATTCCGATGGCGCGGGAAGGAACGCGCGTAGAATTTTTATGTTGTTTGCAGAGAGGCGCGCGTGCGCGGACATTATGAATTATTCTTACAATCCTCGCCGGACGAGTCGCCGGAGTCGCGAGAACGCTTGGCTTTATCGCGCGGTGTCTTTTTAAAACGGAAACGTACTAAGCTGGTCGTAACGGCATACCGGCCGTTCATCGCGTCGTGGAAACTCGGGTTTCCCATTTTTCTATCGCTGTCTGCGATATATCAGCACGACCGCGATTCAACCGCGTAATTATGATTCCGCGGTAATCGATGCACTTTCCCTCGTCAATCAACATGCACTGGCTGGGCGATTTACATTGAGACACAGCTTGATCCGTCATTCTCTACGCATTCTCACGCATTCTATTTTTTTCCTCTATTAAACGTAAACGATATTCCGCAT